TAAGTACTGAGCAGTTCCTTTGCTAACAATTCTCTACTGAAAGCGATGGAAATTAACAATTAGTGAATGTATTATCTGACATTTTCAATTACAAACCACAGGGAGACTGCACTAAAGTTGTCTGCTTGGTATTATATAGTGGGTAATATAATAACAATAGTATTATCTATATATTTCAGTTACAAAATCAATATACGGGTCCAATAATGAATATGTTAAAAATTTGTTATCCAATATAATTTTTTGGATAACAGACTTTTAACATATTCGAAAATAGATTATTGATCAATATGGCTTATTAATAATAAAGCAATATGGCATATTGTACTTGGCTTTTATTTATTTTAATAATTTCTCTTATCTCGCTTTTTATGTATATCTGTGTTTGTTATAATTTGTGTGCTGTAAGTAATGCAAATAAATTATATATTGATGGGCGATATCGAAATGGGTGAAGACCTTTTGTCCGCCGTCAATGTCCAGAGGAACTCAAATTTACAGATATCGGATCAGTATGAATATTATCCATGCCTACTGCTACATTTCGTCTCATTCGTGTTTCTGCCGTGAAGCAGTTGTATTTACATGGCTGTGTGGTGGTTTAAAGAATGGGATATACAATAAAATTACAGGGTACAGAGGCTGTAACACTACTTTGTCCTTAGGAATAGCAACGCATGAAGAGTATCATAGACATCACAATATAGACAATCTATTATATCCATGGTACTGTTCATGTCTATAGGTGTCCATGACCACTTTCCATCAGATGGGCTGTCAGCTTGTTTCCCATTCTATGTTGCATAAAAAAACGTATAAAGTCGGACGGTTTGTAATCAAAATAGTTAAATGTCATGCATATTTGAATAACTTTCAGTTTAAATCTGACTCAAAAGAGAATTGTTTGCAATTTAATTGCATTATCATGACAATCTATCTTACAATTCAAAAAATGCAATATTTACTTTATTTAATATTTAGCTAGGTTTCCTGAGAAAAGGTAACACGAGTGCCTATTTTGGCGTACAATATCGCAACAAACAAGTCAGAATGGACGGTATCTACTCCATTTTAAATGAGAACTTACGCGAAGAGGCTAAATGTCAGTTGCAGGCTGTAGCAACCCGTCGAATATAACTTAATTCCTTTGTTCGCTAGCTTTTGTGCAGAAATCCGTTCTCTGCATTTTAGGAAAATGAAACGTGAGCAAAATCAGGAATAGTTTTAATTTAATCATTGCCAATATTTGCACTATATCCGCCAGTGTAGTAATTTTTTAAATTAGTCTAGTTAGCAAGAGGTTCTTCGACGATATTTTAGTATGTATGTTAAGTTATATCTTCAGCATTTTTGTACAACTTTTGAAGAATCTTGCAACCTATTGGGCTTTTTACCGTATTGGTCGTATTTTATATTTTATAATTAAAATTATTCTATATCTGATAGTAGTAATTATTACCTATAGAATACGCATAAACAACATTATGACAATTATAGAATACCTGTGAAATATTAATGCATGAAGCATTGCCACTGAAGTCAATGTAATTACGTCACTTTTATCAGGCCTAGTATTGCAATATGAACGAATTATGTCGTATTTATCATCTTACTTTTTCTACCGTCTCACAGGAATATAAATAATAAATGCTCCATAATCATACTGATTTCGTAATTTTCAACCTAAGATACCCTCTTAAGGTTACGAAATACCAAAGAATCTGTAGCCATAACCTAAAACACAGACTCGAGCCAATTTAATGAAGTTTATTGAATCTTTATCTAAATTAATTGATGAATCGAACTTGACCAAGATTCGATCCCGAGACCTCATTTACGAAATTGACTAGTTTACCACTGCATTATGAAGGTTGTAAATGTCTCCAAACTACATATGTATATAGGTTACATCTTGTTTTAAAGAAAACTCAACATTTTGTGTAATTTGGCTACAATCCCGAATTGAACGCGCCAATGACATTATTCCAAACAACTCCAATACAATTCCAACGATCTAGTCACTACCGTGTACAGAAACTTTAATTGCATCTCAGTCTCCTGCCGTTTCAATTTCCTGGTAGATAAATATGCAGGTAGAATTCATTCGTAGTACCATACTTTGCTATATAACTATAATGCACATGAACTTTTCAAGAGAAACACAAACTGCCAACTAGTTGAGAAATAATAAAGCAAAGTTTAGGACATCTAGAATAATCTAGTTCATTAAACTTCTTTCCGATGAAAAATGGAGTTTTCTTTATAATTGGATGAAAATTATACAGTAACCCAGCTTCATCATGATGAGAGTGATGATATGAAACTAAAGTTAGTTCAGTTGGCCACTTTGACAATTGCAACGGGAATTTAACCCAATGATCAAAGATTGTTAGTAATCCTGGAAATCATTTTGGTTGATTCTTGTGAAATTCGTCACAATGGATTAACTGGCCTGCTTTTATCTACATCTATCATCCCTCAGCTGGTGACCCAACAGCGTATACCGATAGCACAGGCGGAGTTATCATTCCATTACCCATTAAAAAAAACCAAAGATCGTGATAACAAAAAACCTCGTGAAGTTCGAGCTAGTTAGGTATTGGGCTACTAGACTCCATTACTATCAATCTCCTCTCTTCTGTGTAGTGATTAATCTGATAGGATATATTGTGGAGGGGAGGTAACTGTTAGTAACGTAAACTAATGACCCCGTTGCTAGTAATATGCCAGGTTAATCTCCACCTAGTACCCTGCTGACGATCTTCATCATCATCATATCGGCCGTTAACTGTCCTCTGTTGAGAGGAAAGGAATTGATAGTAACGCGGACTAACAGTCCCGTTGCTATGTAATATGCCCCATAAGGTCAACCTCCACGTGGTCTCCCCTGGAAACCGTCGTGCTGAATTCCAGGTGTATTCATTACGATGGGCTAACTTACCTGCCTTTTCATTCTCACCTTTCACCCCTTACTGGTGCCCTGTTGGTGTATACCGTTAGCGCAGGTGAGGTAACCATTCCATTATCATCAATTAAAAAAACTATCCTCTGTTGAACATAGGCCTCATCAATAAGGGGGTTTTTGCAATAGTTACCACGATTGACACGGGCGTATTGGCAACCGCAGTTAGATTTTGGTGATGTTGTAAGAGTGACGTTACTGCTTATCTCTCGACCAATAAGTTCTCGTAGTCCCCTCTTACGACTTCCACGGGAAAGGATGGGTGGTCTATTCTGTGCCGGGACCACACGATATCTGTTCATTATCGTGATCACTTAATTGTTAGTGAAAGCTGAACTTCCAAATGGCCTGACTTAATCCTCATCTATCATCATTCACTGGTGTATATCGATAGTGCAGACTGAGTTATCATTCCATTATTATCCATTAAAGAATAGGGTACATTGTTAGCAATACGGGCATTACACCCCATTAGAATCCCTACCACCCCCCTAATATAAAGATGGAATACGTGAGTGAATCTTCCCTGTTTACTCGTTTTATATAGACGTACTAAGAGCATCTCTAGTTACTCGACTGCAATCTCAAACAATTTTGTCTGTTGTTCTTTTGATATAGCTAGTTCTATATTTCAGTTCTTATTAAATATGATCTTAACCATTCCAATTGTAATCTTAAAATTACTATGAAATATGTGGATACATCAAATCTCTTACCATTAAATAGTCCATTAGCTTTTGTTGCTAAGATACCCTTAAAAAGCGATAAGTACTATTTATTTCACACTACAATTGTATATGTGCTTTTATGAAATTTCAACTCAACATTACTAAGAATCATTCAATAATTTCTTGGGAATACGCAGAAATTATTCCTCCTTTTCCCTATTCCTTGTCCAATTCGTCTTAATAAAAACAGAGACAAAACATATTGGAGCACAATGAAATCAAACATTGATATACAAATTGGTGACTTAATGAGTTTTATTTGTGTAGACATTGTGGTCCAAATTTCTGCAACCCAGATCGAGTACCAATACCGAGAAGGTAGGGGAACGTTTTCCAACTAATACAAGGTGTTGTTCTGTGTCGCCTATTTCAGTACAAAAAGTGAGGTCACACGACACAGTGAGGCTGCGTGTCGTACGTTTGCACAGTTTGGGGATGACGAGGGTGTGTAAGAGGCGAGGCCAGACGGGGCGGGGGGCTCGTCGCCAGGCTCCAGGGCCGAGCTTACATAACGCAGAGAAAATCGGATGTACAACCCCGGTTGCGTGCCGTCTCACTCGCACTTTATTGAGGTGAATACAGATTGGATAGAATTTTCCTGCGTCTTAATAATGCGACTGTGCGATAAAGTTTGTATAAAGTCAAAATAATTTATCTGGCATTTGTAATCCTAGATAGGGTTTTGTAATAATTACAATAGTTGTAATTATAACACGTTACCGTATAGTCCACTCTCACTATAAATACAACGTGGCTCGCGGTGAGTCTACTATCGTCTTTATTGATGAATTATATTTGTTAGTTGAAGTTTATCATTACCAAAATTACTGGGAAAATTACATTGATAATTTTTTTGGTATCGATTATACATTACACGTTTTTTTTTAATTCACAACCATTTATTCTCTCATACTCACAAATCGAATAATTGTACAAATCCTTTAAGGATTTGTTCCTTTTTTTGCTTTTTGAGTATACCCTACTCTAAAATACGATATTTTTATATCATAAAATGTATTTCAAAAAAAGATAATAAAATAAATATTTTAACAATCATTAGGGTAAAAAATGATCACATATTTTTCCCCCCTTTCAGACTTATTTCTAGCAGTGGATATGTTGCGATGATGATAACGCCAATAAAATACTCCATCATTCTTAACAAATAAAGAAAGATAATAGATTAAGGATACTCTATTTAAAATTAATACATATTGATAATATTAAGTGTTGCTTTAAAAATAGGAAAGAAAAGTGATAACAGTGTGAACGTGACTCTAGCAAGGCCCGCACATGTGCCGATCGCGCTGACATTTACGTAGTGCGCCCCGTACCGTCGCGTAAGCGTGTTCGTGACGCGCTGCAGAAAAATAAAACATTCGAAATCCGAAATATTATATTCGAAGTAGTTGTCAGCCAGTTCTTTTTTTAGGAAAACAAAAAGGTGCCTGTGCCTATGTTATTTTTTTTTTATGTTTTTAATTTGTGCGTTCCGTTACTGAAAATTGTTTTGGAAAGTGTGGACACGCTAGGGGTCGTTTTCCCTGGGAGAGTATTGCTATAGCAACGAATGACGTCAAGTTCATGGGCGGTTGGTGCATTTTCGTTCAATAATGTATAGTTTCTGTTTTATTTGACGATAGTTTTTTAAATTGTGAAAGAACAAAAGGTGAGAGTTAATTTATATATTTTTTTCAAATACTTATTTAATTGTGCATACTTACTGTAACACGTATACATCATATTGTTTTTAATTATTATAGTCATTAAGTAAATTAGATAACTAACAAATTATGTTGTGTTAAAGCAACTTCTGTTTTTAGATATTTTTTACTTAATTACGTAGGTATTACTTAATTTTCCAGCAAACTCATTCTTTAACAGAAATCTAACATTTTCCAGTCACTACTTGAGTACTTATATATTAGAATATTGTTTATCACATGATTTAATCATTATTTAATTAAAAAAAATATATCATTAAATTAAATAAAAATTAAGTTATAATAGGTTTTTTAATGTGGTTTATAAAAAAATTACAAAATGCAATATCAAGAATTTTGTATATAGATAATATGATTCTCTAAACTCTAAATGAAAATTATTAATATCAAATGTTAGACATTACGTTTGTTTCATCGAGATGTAATATTTATTCTCTAACAAAAGTTACTCTAATGATATTTAAAGGTCTCATACATATTTGCATTAGATACATAATTAAATAATAATATCAGTAACTGTTAATAACTGTTAAACTACCTACATTAAATTAATAATACGAAATGTCCATTCAATACAATTACTTTCGCGTTAATATTTCGTATTTATAATGTATTGTAGAAATATTATAAATAATTTTATTTATTTCTAAACTTTATATTATTTTTTATAAAAAAAAACTACACCAAGATAGCGATATTTAATAAAATAAAAAAAAAATGTCGTATTTGAATATGGAAGAACATATTCGAAATCACTTTTCTGTGCAACGAAACGTAACGTCACAGAAAATGAAAGTGGCCAACATTTTATAAGCACAAAGCGTCCGGTTGAATGGAATCTTATATAACCAGACGTTTGGGCCACGCGTAATTTTGATTCGCTACACAGTTGTCTTACTATCATTTTTTAGTAAGATTTCATTGTAGTTTTAAATTATACAATGTAAAAAAAAAAGTTTAATAACATAGACTACAAAATAATATCTGTTTATTTATTTTTTTCATTACTATTATAAATTAGCTGTAGAGCAGTATATAAATAGATACATATATACAAGTATTCATAATAGATAATTATTCAGGATAAGTATATTTTTACATTTATAAAATATACTCTGTTTGTATATAAAATTTAATTAAAATCCGTCTATCCGTTAAAGCGGTATTAAGCAAAGAAAATCTTTAAACTTTCGCAATTATAATTTGAGTAAGATTAAAATTTGAAATTAGTCCAAAAAGTTTTATCATTTCTTATTCGTGTTTCAGCAAAAACAGATCAAACAAAAAAAAAACAAAAGATCAGAAATTTAAACCACCCCAACGGAATCACGTTCCAATATCCCTTTGGTATACGCTTATTCATTCTCCTCTGAAGGGGACGCCATAATTATACAAAATTATTCTACGCAATCATTTTATATATAAAGGGTGAAATCGCAACAATTAGAATATTTTTAAAGAAATGTTCTACCAGTGAATAATTATTCCCAAAAAAATAAAACAATTGAAAAACGCCAAAATATGGAGTTCCTCATATTGACAGTTGAAAACACCGTGTAAGTGTGATAAGTTGAGAATATTGCTATTATAAATTTATATAAAATATACGTAAACTCAGTAATAATAAATAAATTTAGTAAAAATAGTATAATACAAGCTTAATTAGTAGGATATTTAAAGGTCAAAACATAGCGTAATATTACGCGTAAACATAAAAAAATTAAGAATATGTTCTTCAAAAAACTTCGACTTTAATTGAGGCAAAACCAATTATTATTTAATATTTAAACTTATTGGCTATTTTAAGTTGCATAAAAAAAAACTACTAAACTATTTTAATAAAATTGCTATTGGATTAATCTGTAAGTACATCTTTTCAAATAAAAAAATAATTTTCCAAGTCTTTTTATAGCTGACGCAGTTATGAGACAACAAATATGAAAAAAAAAAGAATATAATCGAATTCGGAACCTCCTTATTTTTTAAGTCTCTTGAAAAATACATAATTAAGGGCCTCTTCAATTTGGAAGTCATTCAAATAATTAATTCATTGAAGAGATTTGTTTAAAGATCTGAATGCAATGGTAACCACGCCTGCGCTGTATATGCTGTAGGGATACCAGTGCGTGACGATAGGTGAGGACGAAGTCAGGTCAATTGAACCCTCGAGACAAATTCATTATAAATTAACCACAATGATTTCCAGAGGGAACTGCATTGAGATCGTGGGGCTACTCTACCTCATTACTAGCAATTCCTCCCCCTTGTCCCTTCTTGAAAAGGTTAAATGTGGAATAAAATTTGAATGAAAATTATCAATAAAAATATTAAGTAAATAAATTTCGTACGGAATAACAATTTAAGTAACTTAAAATACAAACTTAATTAAGTAATGAATTAAAGAATTTAAGTAATTTAAAGTGACTTAGGTTATATTTATACATACTCGTATTTGCTAAGGAATCCGAATGAAAAATTATCTATATAATTGCAAAGTCTGTTTCGTAATACCTAAGCTATTAAATACTAATTTTCTGTTATTATCTCTCCTAGATTATATATAATCTTAGCTCAATCTTTGTAATGTTATTCTAATAATACTAGGTTATGGTGATCGAGACATAACTGTTTGCTTTTAACAGTATTTAATACATATTAACTAGACACCAGTTTATATTTTTATATTATTTATTACTTGTATTTTAATATACATAACTATCTTTATGGTATGAACATGTGATGCGTAGGGAAGAAGAGAATGGGATATGAAAGGTATCAGGTATGAATGTGAAAGGTTATAAGTGCAGAGAAAAATTAAGAAATAAATAAATGGACTGTGTCACAGATAATATAAATTGACTAGTTTGGCTGTGTGAAGGATGACATGGACAGAAAGGAAGTGACTAGTGAGACAATTGCAAATAGAGATGAACAAAAGAACAAAATATATTACAGCCTTTTTCTATAATATATAAGAGAATATTTTACGCCTACTTCTTTCTGCTCTTTTTATTATGTGGAAAAAAGGACATGAAAAGAAGAATAATATATTGACCTACCTTTATCTATAGTCTATTTCAATAGAACATAGTAAAAAAGTAACGAAGTCTTATTGAAATTATCACAGGAAGACTCTCAAACGAAATCAGAATTTAGCACATTCAATTAATTACTCTATTTTTATTTGTACTAACACTGAATATCAGCATATTGTCTTTTAGTTGAATCAATTATTTGTTTATTTACATTTTCATTAAATTATATTGAAATAGACTATATCTACAGGTGAATCCAAATTATTAATGTAATTTTAAAAGAACATTATAAATAGAACATAACTAAATAAAACATTTGGAATAATATTGTTTTGGCATACCTCAATAAAAAACAGGCTATATTTATTTATATACATATATAATAATCATAATAAAAATATCTTATAGTTTTTTTTTAGATAATAAATTAAATTTTTTCCCAAAAAAATTGTAGTTAAACAGGTTGATTTAAAAACTAAACTCTTGATAAAACTTTAATAGGACAAATCTGTAAGTATATCCTTTTAGACAAAAAAAAAAAAGAATTCTCTAAATCGGTTTACAACTGATGGAGTTATTAGGTAATAAACATTAAAAAAAAAACATAACTCTGAACCCCTTTTTTTTAAATACGTTTTAAAAGTAATATGAATTCCATCAACGAAGAAACGAAATCGAAAACATTCAATTCATTTCACTACGGCGCGTACGCTAAAACTTCTCATGCAACTTGGCGATATGTTGTAACTTAGCTATTAGCACTGCAACCTCAAAACCCCCTCAAACAAATTTGTACCTTACCGTCAATACATTAAAAACGATTACAACAAATACAGGTTTTAGAAACGTAGATTTTTCTTGGCGAGGTCTCGTTGCGTAAGCAATGTTGACATTGCCATAGTACGAGCATCCATAGATGGTGGGAGTGTCCCCTACTACGAGATCGCATTTGCTTCTCGCTCTGATTCCCTAAACTTGACCGTCACCTTGCCGAGGTTAATAATACTCGTAGTGGTATTAATTTTAAAATTGTGATAATTTATTCATAATATTTTTGCATAGTTCGATCTGTTAGTGTTTTGTTGAACTAGGTGTAGGTATATATCATTGGTTATTGGGTTAGTATTATTTTGTTTAATTCCGCTACCTTTAGTGTATATGTTGATAGTCGCACACATACTAACGGTAGCGGAATTAAACAAAATAATTGTAGTCAAATAACCAGTAGTTTATTCCGTTACAATTATTTATATTACATTTATTACACAAATATGTACAATATAACAAACGATATACGTCTTATTTTATATATTCTGCAATTAAAGATATTAGAGTGATATTAATGTTCTCTAATAATTTTCAAACGAATTCAATAAGGAGAATCTTAATTTCATTAGGTATTATTTTCTATTTTATTTATTTATGTTACACAAGATCTTCGTAAATTTTGGATAGACATTAATGATAATTTTTACATCCAATAAGGTTTCCCCTCGTCTCTTTACACAATACTATTTTTGAGGTAATTAAATTCATTTCCATGGTATATTTTGTTTTTATTGTAGAGTGATGTTATAATTTAAAAAATAAAAAAAAATCATTTATAAGCATTTAATAAACACGCAGTAACAAAAACTTGAAATATTTCATATATTTTTATATTTGTTTTATTTTAATTACATTTTAAATATAAAATAAATCGTGATAGGAATATATTTCTTTGATGAAGAAATTAATGAATTTAAAACTGTTTGTCATTATATAATTTTCATTATAGTCAAAAGTTCCATAGTGTAGTAATAAATATAAGATTCGTTGTATTATAAAAAATAATTCGCTAATTTGATTCTCAAATTTGTAAAATTAAAAAAAGGGTAAAAGATAAAAGTATTATTTTATATGTATAGGTG